TTCAACCTACCGGCCACAATTTTTGACATATTTTGATTAAATGCAGTATACTGACACGTTTGGACCGAAGGACGAACGCTATTGACAATGCTTGGGATCGGTCCGCTTTTGCGACCACTCCTCAAATAACGCCTTATATTGAAAAGTCCTTATAAGAGAGCACTTGCAATTTTCAAAATTTCTCGACAAACTCGCTGAGTAATAGGGGTTGGACATTCGAAATTGATAAAAGAAATTTGGTTCGGCTGGAGCAATGTTTTGAACCGCTGTTCATATAACCGCTCTTGCGAAAACAGAATCTTTACATGGTAAAGCCATCTATTGAATATTGGACGATCAAAATTGGCTGATAATCGTAAATTGACAAAGAAATCAACCTCACTGAATTGAGATCACACAAGTCTATTTTTTGGACACCACGGCTTATAAGGATTATCAGGATGCATAAGTCTCTATATATATATAGCAAAAATGCCTAATTGTTAATGTTTTATAATGAAAATATGTTCATGATAATAGTTGGACATAAAAATTAAGTACACCAAACTAGAACCACGTGAGTCTATTTCTTGAGCCAAACTCCATATAAGATTTCTCATGAATAGTAAGGCTTTCAGAACAATGTTTAATTCTTAATATTATATGATAAAAATTAATCCATAGTAGCAATTTAACAAAAAAACTAAAGCTATGGAATTTAGGCCACATAGGTCTATTGTTTAGAATCCCATATATGAAGAAAATTCTAGTTTTCTATGACGGAAACGGAACAATAATAAAATTTCTGGAAAGTCAATTCGGTTTGATGAATTTCATGCCATGTGATGTTTTGGTTGTCCTTCAATGTGCCTTTGCTTGAAAATAATGTACAATTTTTGATGCATTACTACCAAAAAAAGTAAATAACTGCACTAAGCGAAGTTGTGTAAATTATTCAATGGTCGGCCTTGCCCGGCTGAAATGTTCTTACTTGTTTCGAGTTTGGAAGATTGAAAAATTTAAAAGAATCATCGAGACATTATGCAGATCAAAACTATACAAATCGAGCTTATGTTGTTGTCAATAACCGATGGATGTGCTTGAAGTCAAATTCCAACATATATTCTTACGAGACAATTTATACCTTTAAGTTGAAAGTTTTCCTACACTTTAGAGTGATGTGAAATACTTATATGTAATTTACGCTTTGCCATAACAGCTATCTTTCTTTATTTATAACAATAAAATCCGATGACTGAAAGACTGGCTGATCTTATCATGCCGTTGGGCTTTCCAGCCGTTTCAATGTTATAATCCTTGTCAACTTGGTAGATTGCTTTGAATCACCCAAGAATATTATATTTAGAGTTCTTTTATAACATAGCGAGTCAACTTCACCTATTCAATGAAGCTTCTATTTTTTTTTGCTTTCAGTAATTTAAACGGTCGTTATGCAATTAAAAGCAGCATTAAAAGAAGAATTGAACTAAAACATGTTTTATATGGGTTACGCCTTTCTTATGCCAAAGTAGGCGAATACATGAACAAACTCGCTATCACAGCAATCAGCTGCGAAAAGTTAAGACCTATTCAATAACAAAATCAACAAGATTCGACTGTCTTTAACGAAACGAAAATTCCTCTGTCATCACTTGTGATATGAAATGTTTCTACAACTATCGTTCCCGTGTCGTAGCTCACGACGACTAACATATATTTGGAAACATCAAACGTAGGCTGCCTTGTAAGCTTTTTGCAGCAAATGAACAACTCGAAGGGAAAACAGATGGCTTAGGATTGGGGAGTCGTTGGATTCTATATACCCAGGAGCTAAAAATCGATTATTTCGATAAATAATAAAATAAAATTTCGCCAAAGATTTTCTTTCCCTTATTACCGATCACAATGCGCATTAACGAAACAATGCAAAGCTGACTTTGAAATTTTAATAGAATTCATAATTAATTCAATGCGGACGTTCCTGTTGGCATAGAATGATATATTTGCTTTTCCAACCATTGGTCTTCGTAATATCTAAAGAAGAAATAAATTGTGATCATCCATTATGGTACGGTATACAAATTTCATTTTTTCTTTCGTTTTTTTGAGATAAAATTATTGGTTGTAGGAATTTCAACTACAATCGAATATCACTTGCTGACTGGTTAGCTCGTAGTTTCGTTCGCGAGCAAAGCTTTTTAGAGTTATATATATGTAAATAAATATGTAGCGCATCGGAGAATCTTTTCAAGAGTCTAAAGACCTAGTAAGTCCTAGTAACTGCAATCCCGAAAACCGGACCTAAATTTTTATCGCGTTTTTACTATGCAGCCGATAGATGTGGGGAGCATTAAAAACAGTAAGAGCGATAAAACTGATAAATGGCTAATGGGGATTGAGAGTCCAGTGATGGCCTTCCGGGAAAGCAGGCGTAAACAGATATTACGTTATCTAGGATATGTGCCCGCAATTATGAGTGTGAGTGTTATCTAAGTCATACATTTCTCCTTTCGAGATATTCAATGAATTTCATTTGAATAAGCCAAAAAATATTTTTACATTACGCAATATTTTAACTTAGAATTTTATTAGACTTGATTAATGAAAATTTATTACGAATATGAAGTTGAGTATGAGATTGAATTGACTTAAATCATTTTCAAGATTAACTGAATATCCTACATATAAATTAAATCAGTGAAAAGTTGTGGGTTTTATTAGAAGCAATAGTTCTTAAGTTTAGTTAATTACATGAACATAATTTTTTTTTTTAATTTTGACTTGGAACACTTTCATAATTATGGGGACATATGTCTATTTGGAAAGTATACAATGGTTTAATTCATGATTTCCTGGATCGCCCACATTGCACAAAGCAAAGTTTAGTCCAACTCCACAGGTCACAAAAGTTATATGATGAAAATAAAAAAAAAGCTCCTTTGGCTAGTAACTGATCACACCATACTAGAGTATTATATTAACAATGAATAAAGTTTTTGAATAGTGCTTAATAAAACAATGGCAACAACAAACATTTGTAATCATAAACAACAAGAATTTGATAATTATCGTTACATAATTTCTATATAGATACGATAATTTTCATCCCATTTTATCCAAGTCACTTAAAAATAAGCGCAGATGTAAACTTTAATATTAATGTTTCAAGAGCAATGCACGTGGTGTACACAAAAAATAAACGAATTTGAGATTGTTAAGCGAGAAATGAAATTTTTTTTGTTTCTGTTAATGTTAGCAGAACATGTGTTCTTTTGCTAAATATGTAATTTTTAAATGGTTCATTAAAAACAGCTCTCAAAAAGTTCGCTCGACAGGTATTTGCATCACGTGAGATAAGTGAATGTAGATGACATTATCCAGTTTGCCCGCGCTAGAGTTTTAAATTTTGCTGTTTTCCCATAGCCACGGTTTGCTAACATGCCAAATGTGAAATAATTGCTAAAAATACTTCCTATAGGCGAAATTTGAGTTTTTTTAGCTTGTATAAAAGGTGTACTCATATAGATTCATGGAGTGTCCACAAAAATATTTTACGTTTTCTAAAATGGACGGAGGAGTCTTCCAAATCCAACTATATCTTAATCGTTAAGATTAATAAACAGAGCTCTGTCAGGGCGCTTACAGTTCCGTTACAGAGTTCCGTTAAGGGACATGGCAAATGTATTTACTAGTTAAGTACGAATTTATCTTCACACCCTTCTTTCCAGTTTCCCTAATAAATTCTTGATTTGATCTGAACGTGCGTCCCTACGGCTTCCTTTTGCGCCATATAAACAATGGCCGTTAGCATCCAGATTTATTTATCGTTCTTCCTTTACTGGGGTAGTTAATGGATAGAATGAATGTAAGTTTCTCGGTCGACTGTTGCCTTTTTGGTCGCGTTTTTTGGACGGTTTTCATCATGGCCTTTGCACAATTCAGATGGTTAGTAGTGGTGGACTCAAAGCATATTCGCATCAAATGTAAGTTGACGTTTTCGATGTACTCTAAGTAAGCAAGTTACCCGCTGCGAAACTAGACTTTTAATGCTAACTTTTTTACAAACAAAATAGAGTAATAAATGGAGCAGGTTTTGATATGCTTGGGACTCCGTAATTTCGTTTTTCGATTATCAAAAATAATTTTTGGAAATTTTTTTATGTTTTCTGGTTACCTTTTTAAGGCCTCCATTGCGTTCGGTATCATCGATGTGCACAAGAATGACTTTGTGCAACAAAGTGCAAACCACCGATAAACCGTTGTTTTCGACATCGAAGTGACACAATAATACTTTTCAAGCAAATGCACTATGGTTCGAAATGCCATATTTCTTGGCCAAAAGTATTAAAACATTAAAAAATATTTTTTTTTCTAATAAAAATTAAATTTTTCACGCATTTCTGATGTGCTGTTAAATTAATTTAAATATAACATACACAGTCTTTTACGAAAATATTAGACTTCTAGTAAGCTTGCCTTCAATTCAAATTCAACTAACTCGTTATCAAAAATTGCTGCAATTTATTCGGAAAAAAATTTGTTTCCCATCAAAAACGCAATGCGCCATTAAAACCAGTTCAAACTCATTTTGCTAGCCATTGTTTGAGATGTGATACTTTTTGAAAATGATGTGAAATTTTTTATCACAGACGATGTTCATGTCTCTTTCCCGGAACTTATTGACCAACGTATTATGTAATTATTATTAAAATATGGAAAACATTTCAAAACCAAAGAAAAAAGAGGCTGATAAACGGCAAACAAATATTTTGCGGTGCTTAGCGGATCTATTAAATTTATTTTAAAAGTTTCATTGGAAGAAGGAAGGGAGCTTATATAATTATAATAATATTAATAGTAGAATGTTTTGCATAAAAGGCGTAAACTTCTACATTTAAAAGACTTGCGTAAGTAATCACAAAGTATTTAGACGAAGAAAAAAAAAATTTCAATAGATATATAGAAAAAATTTAAAAAAAGAAGAAAGGAATTATTTTAAAAATGTTTTGCTAACTACTTACTCGTGCTTATCAATACGTTTATTATGATGCGGATGGTTGTGTGTGTGTGTGCGCGCATGCGTGTGTGTGGGTGTATGCGGTTCTAAATTTTAAATTTATTCATTTAATTCTTTCAAAACAAAAAAAAAAATAAAATAAATAGTAAATAATGCCAAGTTTTACTTAGTTTTTCCACACGTTTTCACTTATTACACATTATCTCAGACATAACGTGGATGCTTCAAACCACCCAAACATAAATTGGAAATTTTTCTTTTCTTCTGCCTTCGTTTTTTTATTTTTTCTTCTTTTTGGCTTTTTGTTTTTTTTTTTTTTTTTCTAGGCTGTGATTGCTTTACACTTTAAGTTGTCTAACAAAATTATGCAGATTTGATCATTATCATTACGTCGTCACCATTCTTGATTTGTTCATTTTTATACTATAGAATATGATTTTCTATTCTTTTCTTTTCTTTGAATTTCTTTTCTTTCTTATTTTCTGTTTTCTCTTTTCGTTTTTCCTTTCTTTTCTTTTTCTCTAAATATATAAAGCATTTTCAATAGTTCTGCCGTTGGCTTCGCGTCGTAGATGCTGCATAAAATTTACATAAATTATAATTTTGCCTTTATTCTATTTCTTTAGTTGGCTTTAATGTTTACATTTTCTTGGATGGAATGGAATTTATAATTATTTACAAGCAAAACAATCGCATTCGTTTCTATGAACATTGCTACGTACGTATATGTGTTTAAGCTTGTAATTGAAATAACTTTCTGGCATTAAATGTTCTTTAAATGGAGTCAAAAAAGGCTAACAGAGCGTATAAGTGATAATTAATGTCAGAGTTAAACAATTAGTGAATAAGAAAATTAATTGCACACGAATTGGAAATGTAATGCTTTATGCCCACCCATCTCATTCAGTATTCAGTAAATTATATAATAATTGCATTATATATGTATATAATATATAAGTATAGATTATATCTCTATAATATATAATATATAAGTAGCATCTCATATACATATGATATTATGTTAAAACGTTAAAGTTCATTAAGGTTGACTATTAAATATCTGACCATGTTGACTATTCGATGACCTACATCACTTCACCCAGTACTAATCAATAATATAATTTATCATATGATATTAAAAACTCGACATCATTGTTTTATGAAGGCTTATTTTCCATGAGAGCTGTTATAAGCTAAAAAAAAAAAAAACAAACTAAAACAAACGTAACGCAAACTTAACACTATAAATATATATGTCCAAGCAACTCTCTTGACAAAGTCTATCCAAATCATTTTCATCAAATTTCATCCAAATATATTAAAGCTTACAAAATGTGGGTTGAATGCAGAAATGAATGTACAAATATCACGCGGACAGACAGACGGACAGAAAATACAGGAAATGATTCTAACTCAATTGATATAACAAGGCATGTGTTTGTTTAATATCTTCGCAGATGTCGCATACATCCGTACAAACTCAGTTTGTATACAATTACTACACCACTACACTACACATGGTAATCGACTATAATCATAGCGCCAATATATTACAGATGTAATATAAATGAGAAATGAATTAAGAAGAATGTAAGAATAGTTGAATATTTTCATGTCTTTGTCATATCACGTCTATATCAATATTCGACACGTTCTAAAGTGCAGTGAAGAAAATGCCACAACGGGTAGTCCCGTTCACTAAAACCCACATAAAACTGCGCCGTCTTATAATGACATACTTTTTTCTTAGTTGCGAAGAAACTGTAGAATCACTTCGAACTTGGCCTAACAATTTTCACAAATCAATTACTTATGATATAAATTTTAGATGAATTCTCCATTCCTTACATATTTTAACCTATCTACCCTTTCAAGGGCAATGAAAAAAACTAACCAAAGATTAACCGATGGACAAAAAACATAGGCAAGAACGTTATATATGGTCAAGACTGAGCATTAAATTTATTTATTCCCTTATTTGTCTTTCACATACTATACACATATAAATACTTTTCAGCCGATACATAACCTATTAAATTTGCATAACACGTAAAATATAAGTATAAGTAGCAGGTAAATATCCTAAATGACTTTGTCTCTTTGAGAGAGAACTCAAAAAATCTTCCATGCCGATTCGAATGCTCACCTCATTTCTTTAATATTCTAAAATAATCTTCTATCTTCTAATCACCCAGACCTGACTTATTTATAATAAAGCCCGATTCGGATTTGTTTTCTAAGCCGATTTCGTCTGTCCGTCTAATTCTATGTCGATGCATTTTTGTGTACGATTTTTGGCATATTGTCCGGTTTTTGTCTTGGTTGCATTAGTTGTTATCGGCAGGTTTCCATAGCGATTGTTTCGTTTAGTTCGCCAAGCTCATAACATATTCCACCCAGCTCGCCTTATATTCGACTTTATCCTTGATGGTAATTATTTATCTAAACTGAATAGTGCTTTCTGCACTTGTATTATTATATCGCACGCATTTTTCATCACTCGTGACAATTCAACAGCATTTCCCTTCGAACTGATCAGGAAAAGTAACGGTTCCCCCACTTAGTATTTTTTTTTTTTTTTTTTTTGGCTTTTTGCTTAGAAGCCGACTTCAACAATTTAGAACTATGTTGCGTACACTGTTGAACACTGTTAGATAAATGTTCACAGACAAAGTAAATCCGTCTTGTGAATAATTCGGGAAGGACTTATTTGAACACCCGGTAAGTCCATATTACTGCTATTCTGTTGAAGTTCAAATGACCATATCATGAAATACCCTACAGACATTTATATACCGTCTTTTCAAAACGAACCGTTTTATGTGGAAAGTGGTAAAGAGGAAGTGGTCCCTTCTGAACCATTTTCGAAAACTTTCGTCTTTGGGCCGAAGTTTAAATGGATTTGATTCTGGCTTGAGCGATACAAAAAATGGGGACCTATCTCAAATGCTTTCGGGGGTATCGAATACATTCGTATAAGATTATTATATCCTCATACCACAAGCGGCTTTTAACTCCAAGTATATCAAAATTTGAAGTAATTCATACAAAGTTTGACAATAAAGAGTAAGACGTTTTTATATTTCAAACTACGATTGTGCTCTTACTTACCTTTTCTATTTAAATTGATAGTTGAAACTTGGAATTATGTGCTCTTAGTTAATTTCGATGGATCAAGGTTCAAAACGAGATTAAAATCTACTCTTATAAAGGTTAACCGAGAGTTAATGATGGAAACGTTGGAGAGTTAATATCGGAAACAGAAAATTTTTGCTTAAGATGTTCCTTACCATCAGCTTTTACGCACCTTAGAGTATATGTATGAATTTGTGAAAATTTGAATCACTTTCGCCGTATACGTCTTGAGATAAATGTATATATATTATGTATATGTATATATATTATTGGAATATGAAAACTGACAAAACTTGAGGTGACAGATATTTAGCATATATGTAAAAATCGCTACGTGCTTTTTATTGACAAAGTTCCATAAATGCTAAGGATTTTCATCGCTAAGATTATACTAACTTGTATCTTAGTCCGTTGCACGCATCGAGATCGAATATAAATAAACTTCAGTTCAGTTATTAAGTCATGATTGAGAATAGAATTCACATTCGTTAGAAAATGTTTATGCAACACTAACGAGAAAAGTGCAGTAGTGAAAGTACTGTCAGCGTTACCTAATGTCATGTTGGTTCGAAAGTCTTGAATGAAAGCCATTCTGAAATGCTGTAAGCCATTCTGTAAATGTTTTTTTGCATTTAAAATTATTGCCACTGCGACCTTCGGAGCATTGATAATTTTGTTTCGCATCCAAAATTATTATAAATTCTTACAGGCTACTCTGCCTTTAGAGCACATGCTTGTTTATATTCATCATTATTGCAATTATCACTTAATACTTGTTATTTGGTTACAATTTTGCTCTCAAACGTAGCGGCTGCCGTTGTTGTCGTTGCCATTGTGGTTGCATAGTATTAACACTAGCGGTTCATATACAGCCAAAGCTACTTAACATATTCTTGCTTATTATGAGCAGCCACATATCTATGGATTTGTAAACAGATATGTAAACATATGTCCGTAAAACGATCAGAAAAAATACAGCATTTTTTGGAAATTCTTTTGAAATTTTTCTACTTTTTAATTGTAAAAATAAAAAAAAATTTGAGATATATCCACGGTCACATATAACATGACATGTAGGATATGGAGAAAAACACTTACACCCATTTACAGTCCGATAACATCTACAAATAGAAGCATTGATTGAAATCGTTAGCTCTTCACTTAATAATTAGAGGTTAAGCGCAATAACGTGAATAGCACATGACTCAATAGGTTCATTGGATGGCACATACACGTAATTCTAATATTTTTAGTGTTTCACAAGAACGAAAAGCGAGGTATTAAAACAAATGTCACAACTGTAAAGTAATGGCGGGCACGTCATGAAATTTTGACACATGTCACTTGAATCACAAGGATTCCCAGTTAGGACACAAAAGCTACGATGCCAAAAAAGATTGTCTTTTTTATCCCTCAGGCAAATAAAAAATATTGCCGGCAGAAAAACTCAATTTTTCCGTTTTTAAAAAAAGTGTTTTTGCGTTGCAATAAGTATTGGTATCATAAAAAAACCAAAAAAATTCTGACCTATATATTTTCTTTACATACAGTGTTAGAGCCATCTACGAACAAATTCCGGTTTCATATTTACATACCGTGGACACAAACTTCGCATTAAAGATTTCGTTTTTCGTTAGGTTAAAAGAGCGCAACACAGCTCTGCTTACAATTCACGGATTATATATATTTTTTGCGAACTTTTTCTTTTTGATACGCATCATCAAAATATAGCGGCATATTCATTTTGTCAAAAGGCTTGCAGCGCCTAGAAGGAAGCTTCAGAGACCTCACAAACTATATCATTATATCTTGCATCAGCATCGAATTCTGCTTCAGTTTAAATATTTCCGTTTATCCGCCTGTCCGTTCGTCCCGTTGCCCGTCTGTCCATCTGCATAACGTCTATTGTGAACATTCTTCTGGCCGCGATAATTAAGCTACCGACTTCAAATTTAGCAGAAACATTTGAAGTTCCTGCGCACAAATCAGATCGGCCAAAAAGCACGCTTACAGTACCGCTATGAACTATGAACACCTCTGCTTTTCAGAATGAATAAAAAATTGTTTTTCTTGCTCAATACTTATCAAATGCAGCAAATCAATTTACAAAAATTTGAACATAGATTCTATGAACGATGCTCTAATACTTGTAAAAAGCAAAAAATTGACTCCGCCTACCCAATATTATAGTGTATCAATTTTTTGTTTTTTTAAATTACTTCATAACGCACTGAAACAAGCATACAAGTTTGTGGCCCATTTTCAAATTTGAAATGAACCTAAGAATATGTGTGTGTTCGTGTGTACATCTGTCCGTGTGCCCAATTGAGTAGTATTTGTGGTG